CCATGGTTGATTTGGTAGGTAACTGAAACCATGGAAAGCGAAACTGATAAGGGGGAGTGGTTAACAAAATCTGTTTTATGAATTTTTCCACCAATTTTTAAAGTGTAGACAATAGCTAAAGAAAACATAGGCAAGCCTTTTGTGTATATATGTGTGTGTATATATTATATTATACACACACATATATACACACACATATATATTATATACACACAGACACTGATGGGAGTTTCCCCCTAACGTATCTTGGGGAGGTCTTTCCATCACTACATGTAAATTGAACCTTCCTCTTTCTCTTTTATTTCTCTTCTCATAGTATTTCCTCTTTTTTCTTTCTAAAATTGCCAGTAATTACATTAGTAATTTGAACTTTTTGACTAAGGTTTTTTTTTATACATATGTATTAATGACGTGGTCATGTGTGACAAAGAAAGAGTTCTCTTCTACTGAATTGGTTCAACATATAACTCAAAAGAAAACCCAATTTCCTGTTAGAGTGCATGGAATATCTTAAAATCCAGTACTAGGTTTAGTTATGGTTAATTTACATTCTTTTTGGCACAAGTTTCTGTAATGTCATATGATCGTTCCGTCTGTTCCCACCCTAGTAGGTAAGAAGTAATTAAAGAATTCTACTTGGAGTTTGACCAGAAGCTTAAGAAAAATTGTGTCAGATTTGATTTATAACAAGTTGTAATTCTTTCTTCCTATGGTAGTAATATTGGGCTTTTTTTATCAGTTAAAGTCATTTTTGAGTATCAACATTTTTTTCTGTGTAGTTCTTACAGAAAGACAAAAAGTTTGAATGGATTAAGAACTGTGTTTTAAACTAAATTGTTACACTTATGAACTAAGTGCAGTTTCTTTTTGCTAACAACTCCATGAGGTAGGTAATGTACTGATTTTACAGAAGAGGTAAACAAAATCTAGAGATTAAGTTTCGTCCACAAGTCACAGCCAGCACAGCTGACGGTGAAATCCAGGGTATCTGGGACCGTGTCTCAGTTTACTATGCTTGAGCTGCTTTTTCCTTGTTCTCCACTGAGATGCTGTAGTTTTACCATTTCCTTTGTATTCATGATTTCATTTGTTCATGTCGGTACTGTTTAGTAAGCATGACTTAACGTTGTTTTTATTCTGTGGCTGGGGAACCAAAGGCGAGAGGTGGTGACTTGTACAAAGACAGACTCTTTTGATACCTGACTGATAAATCACGGGACCTGAGACAAGATGTTCTGGCTTTCAGTGCGGTGCCCCTTTCTATTTAGTACTGGAATGGGGAAACAAAGTTTTCTACTAGTGCCTTTTTTTTTTTTCCTTGAATTGGGAATTTCCTGGGAGTTCCCTGAGAAATCTAAGTGAATTTTATGTGCTGGGTTCTAGACCTTCGTGCCTTGAATTTGGTATATTTCTGACATTTTATAACATATTAATCAGTGAGGCCTCAGTTTAATAAGACAGAGTGCAGCATGGTGAAGACTGTGTGATCAAATTGTTTACATAAAATTTCTCCTTCATCTTTGGCACCTCTCATTTGTTTTCTGTATTGTACTATGTATAGTTGACATTTTCTTTTTTCTTTTTTTTCCCCCCTTTTAGTGAATGGTAGTGTCTAGAAAGGGTATGTCCCTTCAAGAGAGAGGTGCCAATGTCCAACCGGCCTAATAACAATCCAGGGGGGTCACTGCGACGTTCACAGAGGAACACTGCCGGGGCCCAACCACAAGACGACTCGACAGGAGGAAGGTATGTATTTAATGTTAATTTGAAAAGAGATTGAGAATAAAAAGAAATTTTTAAAAACTTCATTATGAGGACCAAAACTGGAATGGTTCACTATAAATGGGTAATTTTTTTTTTTAATTTTTGAGCCAAGTAACAGAACACTGGAATTCAAAGCAATTATTTAATCATTCCCCAAATATGCTAGGCTTAAAAAATTGTTCAGTCACTGACATTACCAAAACTCCAATCCTAGGATCAGTAGCGTATGCACATCCTGTCCTGTTTGCCCTATCTCTTCCTCACTCCCTCGGCACATGCTACAGCACAGCTTTTCAGCCATTTGTAGTCCCTCTGTTTATGTGTGTCCTGACTTATTTACCTTACTGAAAAGAAGCTTTATTTGTTTTAAGGTCTTGAGTTTTGATACCTAGCTGTTGAATTTTTTCCCATCTTACTTTTTGTCAGCACCAATGCTGACAGGCTGGTAAAGCCGTCTGGCATCGATTCTCATCATTTTCTGAGTGGTCTGGTGTTGAGCTGGCTTTTTCCTTAGAGTTGTTGTAAAGGAGATAGTCTGAAGAATGAGGTACATTCTCTTGAATGTAAAATTCGAAGTCTAAGTTATCTACAGACTGTCATTTTATGTATAAAATATTCAGAATTACTTTAAGTCCTGATTTTCTAATCCATAGACCAGTCATGTTTAGCTCACAATGGAAGACGGCTAAGTTGTAATAAGATTACTGGCTGTAGCATTTTGAGGCATTACCATGTATATGTTGCCTAGTAAATGATTAAAAAAAATTGTAAACGTCAAATGTAAAGAAATTGAAACACACCTTGTTCACATCAGGCTGTGTTAGTGGTTGAGTGTTTGGACTTTGGACTAGGCAGCGTTGTGTGCAGTTTCTGCCTCTGCCTCTAAATAGCTGTGTGTCCTGTGTTGTATTTTTCAGCAAACCTCAATTGTTTAGTCCACACAGTAGGGATACCTATTTAATCGGGTTATTAGTTAACTTGGTATTGCAGTATGTTAAGCTCTTAGAACAATACTTAGCACGGAGTTTTGTTCTGAAATTGTTTCTTGCTTGTTTACATTTAGATTATTCTTTGCAACAGCCACACTGAACTTTATTTATATTGTTGATTAAAAAGTATCACTCCCCCATTATAAAAATTTTACATATTTATTTTAGAGAATTTGGAAAATACAGAAATGTTAAAGGAAAACATCAGAATTATACAATCCACTTGTAACCACTGTTAACGTTGGCCTGTTCCTCCATAGTCCTTTTTTTTGTACTGCATGTGTGTGTATATATATATGCATGCACGTGCACATGAGTTACTTGTACCTTTTGAACAATTGCAGTTTTGCATATTAATCCTCAGGTTATATTTAGACTCTTGAATATGAATGACAAACATTTTGGGCTGTCACACGGTGTATTGCTTCTAAATTCACAGTGGCATTTCAGCACCATTATCTTTTCTACACATCAAGGTTGTGTAGAATTATTTAAGTGTTTTATTGTATTATGTATTTTAAAAATATGAGAGGAAAACAAATGGACGTGGTTAATACTAGTGATTAAGATGTGCTGGCTTAGGTCGTTAGCTCTTCTTACTTGCTTTCTGAGACGGCCCCGCACTCTATCTATGGAGTGTGCATCTACTTTTAATCACCCCACACCTCTCTTGGTCTCTCCCTCTCACCTTTATGAGATGGCCCGCATTCTGCCTGTGGAGTGTGTATCTCCCAAGCCATTTTTCCCTTCTGAGTGAGATGGACCCCACTCTATCTATGGAGTGTGTACAAATAAACTTGCTTTCATTTGAAAAAAAAAAAAAAGGGATGCACTGGCTTAAATAACGAAGTTGTAATCAAGGTGGAACTCAATTTGATTTGTAGAATGGCAGATCTTGTACTTTAAGCCAATCAGTGATATTCTCAATTGTGAAGGAAAAGAATAAAATTTAAAAATGTGTTTGGAATGGCAGAAACATGCCAGAGTATAAATATAAAGCAAGGTACAATTAGGGTTTTTATAGCTTTAATCTTTCCTCCGTTTCAGTAATGTAGCCCTATTTCAGCTCTCAAGATTTCAGCTTTGACATGTCTTCAAAAAATATTTCCCCACAAAACTAGTACACGAAAGAAGACTTACTTGCTTTTTTAAAAACCTAGTATTACATGTGTCATTACCTGTGTCCTTAAAAATTGTTTAAAAACATGACTTTTAAAGTCTTCATGTTCAGTTGTGTGGCTGTACTGTAATTTCATAATAATTTTCCTATTTTTATGTGGGTAAGTATAGTTATGAAGAGGACACAGAAACGTAGAACTGTAGCCAAAAAGTCTTACCAGTTTGGCTGAGAATGCAGATTTGCTCATCTGAATTTCATTTTGCCATTCTAGACAGCTTAGTTCTTTTGTTCGTGATAGAACATCAAAACTGGAAATTCATCAAATCTCAGGCTGACTTTTGAAGCCCCAGTAGAGTATGCTGTGCTAACAGTTACCCAATCTCCAAGGACCCTCTCTGGTGATTTTGGGGAGTGAGAGGATTGGGATTAATTGGGAGAGAGCAGTCACAACTGCATTTTCATTCTTTGAATCTGACTCCTGTTGCATAGCTTTTCTAAGTAAAATGCTGTTACTGTGGCTTCTGTTTCCCAAAAAACAGTGGATTTGGTCTTGTGAATGTATTCATAGTGATCTGGTGATTGAAATAGTGGTCATAAAAAACAGCACCTCCTACGGTACCTGGGGAGTGTTTCTAGCTGAGCAGTTTTGTGTACATATTCTTTCCATTGAGACTCACAGAAACTCTGTGCTGCTAAGTGTCCTGTTCTCTAAGGGTGGTAGCTTGCTCAGCTTTACACAGCGGCTATGTAGTCAGGTCTTGACCCCTGACCCCTTCACTCTAAACTCAGTGGTTCTTTTTTGGTATGCCAGACTGTTTTTACTGCACAAATCACTTGATCTAAATGATGAGGGACTTGGGGAGGGGGAGTTGAATTACTTCAAACTGAAGAGCAGTAACTCATTCCGTTTAGAATTTAAGAAGCAGTTCTTCCCTCTTAGAATTTTTAAATTCGTTCATTTTTGATCCACTGTTTTTTTCCATACTTGCGTTATGTTGTTTTCTTTGTGTAGTTTCCTTCTCTTTTCCCAAATCAAGGTCACTTTACTTTTTTTTTTTTTTTGAGAAAGATTTTAGTTCACCGTTAAGATAAAAGAAAGTTGGATATTTGATCATTTCTCCTGTTGATTTCTCCTGTTCTTTTCCACCCATCCTTCATCTCTATCCATAATTGAACTAGACATCTTACTCCTCTTCTGTTGTTTTTCTCTTTTCCTTTCTTCCATAATTTTTTGGGCTATGTTGATCTGTTCCTCTCTCTTCTGTTCTTTTTTTTTTTTCTTTAGGAAATCACTCACCTCCACTGCTTGCCTGTGGGCTTGCTCTCAGGGATACAGCCTAGCCTTTCCCACTTCTAGCACAGGCATTTGTAGGCTCCTGGCCCTCCTGGCCATGCAGTAGCATTTTCATTGTATCATGTGCTTTTTCTTGTCTTTCTCACATGTCAGTGGTGGGATTGAATTCAATTTTATAGCAACTTTAAGATTGCTTTAGTGAAGGTTTCTTCGACATTATTTTTCTTAGAAAAATGCAACATGTTGAGAATAGAAAATTGGGATGCTTCAGGAAAATTAAAGAATTAAGGTAAATTTATTCCAGCCACCCAGGAGATAACTATGGTTAGTATTTCTACTCTGTATTTCTACATCCATGATTTTTTTTTTTTTTTGATACTGAAAGCCTATGATTTAATTCTGGGCCTCTAGTTTTTCTCAGTTTTTTTCTATAAAATAGCATTGCTATGCCCATCACATTTTAGTATGATTCTGATTTTATCAAGTCAGATTCCTGAAATGGGTTTATAGGACTTAAGGTTATGAATATTTTGAAGAGTTTTAACAGTTAAGATTGCTAAATTGTCTTTCAAAGAAAATTGAACCACTGTTTTTTTTTATTGAACCAATTTATACTCCTACTGATTCTTTGTGAGAATGCCTGTTTCTCCAAATCCTAGTCAGTATAGCACACCATTTTTAGTAAAAACTTGTGGGTAAAAGGATTCCTTTGGTTACTATAGAGTTGAAGATCTTACCCACATGTTGGCCATTTTCATTTATTTTATGAATTGTATGTTAGTGTCCTTTGTCTGTTTTAATTTTGGAGATGCTTTTTCTTTTATTAACGCCCTTTATGGAAAAGGGATCAGTCTACTGACACTGGCAGTTTTTTTCCCCTAGTTTTACTTGTTAGAGTTTGTTTCAATTTATAGACGATTTAAGATTTAAATAGTCAAGTCTGTGAGCTCTTTGTTTCTTTTCTTCCTTTGCCTTCTCCATCCCCAGAATTAAATTTCTTCTCAGTTCTGTTACGGTTTCATTTTTTATGTTTTACTGTAACCTGTCAGTGTCAGAGTTTTTAAATGATGTGAGGAAATGCTTGAGTCCAATCCAGTCCCACTTCTCCACCCCATTAAAAAATTTATCTGCAAAGTTTTATTATTTATTACGGAGTCAAAAACTCAATTATGAGATCTAGAGGTTATAGCTTTCTGTTAACATTGTCAAAGCAGGGATTTTTTTTTTTAGGCCAGTATTAATTATGCTGAAGTAGATTTATATTTTGCTTAAAAATTAAAAAGCTATTCCAGAGGACTGAGATACAGGAAAACATTAAAAAAAAATCCAGAGATTAAATCTGTGTTAGTATTTTTATTTTTACTTGTTTTTAAAACTCAATTTAGCATGTAGCTGATTACACTGTAAATACTGTTTTGGATCTTACTTTTTTTCACTCAGAATCTTAACATAAACATTTTCTCTATGATGATGATTTTTTGATAATTGTTAACAAATGGTTGCATGATTTTCTGAATCAGTGTACAGCATTTTCCCCTATTGATTTCCACTTTTTGGATAATTAGATGGTTGGAGTGGG